CACCTAATGAGGTACACGATATGAGGCACTGAAGGATTGTATATCGCTATGGAAGAACATTGCATAAACACTAATTCGAAATGAATTCAAATCAAAACTCGCCATACCGCATCCCGCCAGCTTTATTGCCGCGGATACATGAACTGCATGAGCAAACAAGTTCCGCGGGGAACCTCCATATCTTGAGAAGCCGTCGCGGCATAGAAGCGCGGCTGTGTGGCGCGCGGCGACCATTTGAACAGAAAATACTGCCGGCCCGCCGTTGCGGGAGGGCGCGGGACCAGGGTGCAGACGCCGGGAAGTGTGCTGCAATGTAACGTAACGAGAACGGTAGCGTTTGTACGACGCAGCATACACGTCGCCGCCGCCACCGGCCTACCGCCCACCGCCCACCGCCACCGCCTCGGCTTGTGCTCCTGCCCGCCGCCTCCCGCGCCCCGCCCGAACCCTCCCGCCACCCCCACTGCACTCCTATCGCACCGCCACCTTCCACCGCCACCCTCCACCGCCACCACCCGCCACCGCCCACCGCCGCACCGCCGACCGCCGACCGTCCGACCGCCACCGCCATCGCCACCGCCATCGCCACCGCGACGCGCACCGCCGACCGCCACCGCCACCGCCCACCGCTCCCGCTCCCAGCCCTAGCCCCGGCCCTCCGCCACCCCACCATCACACCCTCTCACCTCCGCCGCCCGCCACAGCCTACGCCCACGCCACCGCTCACCGCCACCGCCACGCGCCCACACGCCCCGCTCGCCACTCCCGCTCCCCGCCCGCCCCCGCCACCTGCCGCCACCGCCCACCACCACCACCACCACACCACCCACCACCACCACCACAACCGCCGCCCAAACCGCCGCCGGCCGCCGCCTTGGCACGCCACCGCATCTGCTCGGCTAGCGCGGGTCTCATGCTCGGCTCTAATTCCTAACCGCCTTCAACCGGTTACGTGTATTTGAAAGCCCTGTTACAGATAAGGTAACTCGAGATTGCCGCCTCGATAACTTGCCGTCGGCTGATAGGGCTATATCTGCGGAATAACAACACTCTCTGGACCGCTCCGCGTGGGAGGGGGCGGGCAGCAAAAAAAAAAAAAAGAATTGTGCCCAAAAGATGCTATAAGGTCGGTCGGGTCGTTCCGCGTAGCGAGCGGAGATTTGAAATTTCCGCGCGAAAATGAAGCCCCGGTGGGACGCAGCGAACGCGGGAGAATGGGAGATATCACGAATTGTTTCGGGTGTTTGAAGATTCCGGAAAGTAAGTCAACTGGAAATGGAATTAAAGCCCGATCGACCCTCTGAATTGGTGAACCTTAAAATATTGCTTTTCCTTTTTCTTTGTATCTTTTCGATTCGTTTCCTCTCATCTCTACTTCAGTACTTATATTTGTACTGACCATCGACGAACATCGTTTTCCTTGGGCCATTCTAACTTACTTCAAGAAGGTATTTCATTGCTATCCTAGTAACCTACTTCCTCCTTCTAAAGTTCCGTTTATCTCTTATTTTTTACAACGTTTCTGATCCTTTATTATAATATTTATTACATTATCAAAACGAGTCCAACAAAAACTTCATGTATATCTAGTTTTTTATTTATTGATATTTAGGGCTACTGTAATTCTAAGACCGCATATGTTTTGTTTTTTAATTCACTGGTTTTTGATAATAAAGCGATGAAGAAATCAGCCGAGTAGTCAGGGCATAAAAATAACTGAATTGTTGATACTGTTATTTCGTGAGGAAAGTATCTTCAACACGGTTCTCTTCAGAATGGACGAGTTCATATGTAATTTAGGTAATAAATGTAATTAATTTTCCGAAAAGGTTAGTGTCACTTTTTCCATTTTTATCTGAGGTTCTTTCTCGATTATTAATTTTTTCTCGAGAGGAAGCGATTATTCATCGATATAACTGAATGGTTTTGCGCAGTATTATGAAACGTCAAAATTTAGGAAGCATCCGATAAATTTGTGAGCTATCTAATCCGTTTATAATCTCCTTCTGCAAATGTATTATATTTTCAATGGATTAACTAGCCGAAGGTGGAGAGACCTTTGTTGAATCTAGATAATGAAGTTGGACATCCTCTTTAATGTCTAATGAATAGTAGCCGTATTGTATTTTCTGGCTATGTATTTGCATGTTTTTATTAAGTTTCGCCCTCTATAATACATCAAAAAGAATCGCACTTGAAGTTCAAATATTAAATGTTAACTAATTCCGAGTCTATAAAAATTTGGGTCTTAAAATAAAAGACAGGAGCGGAAAGCTTAAAACCCAAGATGTTGGGAAAACTTAATGCTGCGTCAAATGCATTCAGTATTTGTACAATAGTAAAGATAAATTGTGATTTTAAAATTATAAAGTTATTTCTAAAACACCAAATTATTGGCAATCAATATAATATATATTAAATATTGTTATTGGGGCAGGCAAAACCCAATTTATAGGGGAAATGGACTTATTAAAAAATTTGATAACAACGAAACTATCGATTGTAGATATTTATTTGCATGCAGAAAAGAGACAAATTAAAACGTGCATGAGTGAAACAGGGTAAGAAGAGAAAATCCGAGAACAGAGAATAGGGGGGGAAAGAGAAACGGGAAAGATTAAATGGGAGCAGGATGGAGAAAGAATGAAAAAGAGAAGAAAATAAACAACGCGAGAGAGAAGGTGAGATAATTCGAGGTGTAGGATGAGAGAAGTGGAGAAGTATGGAGGGTGTGAGAAATAGAGATTAGGAGGTAGAGAGAAAATCGGCCGGAAAAGGAGGGTGGAAAAAATAAAGTATATGAAGGAGAGAGAAATGGAGAGTATACACTAGGGATGGTGAAACTTCGGCGACTTTCCATACACGTCCTGTTTCAGGGGTTATCTTCTTGTGCGGGAATGTCTAGCCAAGACTTCCTCTAAGCTACACATTGGTCTTCCAACATATGTGATAATGTAGTACATTGCAAGTGTAAAAGCGTGCCAATTGCGTGAGGATTAGGACAAAGAAGACAAAGAACGATGACGGCTGGAGTCGCGTGGCTCGTTTGTTGGGTATATTACTCCACAATTTGCTTGTATTTCGTGAGAGAAAGTCGGCAAAGCTACAGTCAGAGGCAGCCGGCCGCTAGAATTCTCTCAAGTCTGAATTGAATTCTAGCTTATTTAGCTAGTTCCGAATCAATCTTCCGACCGTTGGTCCTTGAGATAGGGATCTCTTGTTCGGAGCCATAACGGTCATGGCGACACAAGCTGTGCCTAACCCCAGCACGCGTCTATTGGTTCGAGAAGTAAATCGCCAAACCCCCTGAGTGTTGGCAGCCCCACAGCGCTCATTTCCTTGTACCCCTCGCTCGCGCAGGCTGCCGGGCGTCGCCATGCCACGCAAAGAATGCGGGAGGCGTCGGCGGCGGCGACTAGGCGACCGCGACGTGGTCAGCGGGAGTGGGCGCCGGGGCGGGAGCGGGACAGCGGCTTCGCGGCGGCGGCGGCGGAGGCGGCGCGTGGGGATTCCCGCAGCTCATTAGGAGAATATGCGACAGCGCGCGCGCGCCGGCGGGGGCGGGCGGGCGGGCGGGCGGAAGCGGCGGAGGCGGCGCCAGGCCACGATCCAATTAGGAGCGCGAGCGAGCGCGAGCGTGCCCGCACGGGCGCGAAGGGCGGGCGCCGCCGGCTGTCGCCTGTTCACGGTGGCGCCAAGGATCGCCCTCCCGGGCCGTCCCCTGGGCCCGGCGCCCGCCCTGCTCCCACTTCCGCTCCGCCCGCCCCGCCCCCCCGCCCCGCCCCGCCCCGCCCCCGCCCCGCCCCGCCCCGTCCCGCCTTCTCTGAGCCGCCCGCCTGCCCAAGCCGCGCCGCGTGCCAAGCGCGTGGCCGGAGATAGTAGGCTAGCTGGGCGCGCGTGGCCCTCGTTCCTGTAGGAGCCGCCGTGCAACCCCCGCGCGGGGAAAGCGAAACACGCTTACCCAACCCGTGCCCCACACACTTTTTACCTGTTCTCGCTTATTCCGTCGTCCCGTATTCCGTTCTATCTCGCGCCCTGCCCTCGTCCGTCTCTCCCTGTACCGTCGCGTCCTGACTGCTTTTCTTTCGTCCTGCAACGTTCCGTCCTGCTCCCTTCCGTCCTGGTCGTTCCGTCCTGTCAGGTTCCGTCCTGCCCCGAACCAATCTGCCCCGCTTCGTCCTGCAGCGTTCCATCCTCCTCCGTTTCATCCTAGACCATTCCGTCCTGCCCCGTTTGTTCTTCCCCGATCCGTCCCGGTCTATTGGGTGCTGCCTAGTTCTGTTCTGCCTCCACCCATCTTGCCCCGTTCCATCCTGAATCTTCCAATCCTATCCTTTCCGTCCTGTCCCCTTTCCATCCTGCTACGTTTCATCGCCTCCCATTCCGTCCTACCCGATCCGCCTTGTCCCGTCCAGTCCTGCCACGTTCCGCCCTGCCCCGAACCGACCTGCCCCGCTTCGTCCTGTCGCGGTCCGTTCTCCTCCGTTCAAAACTCATCCGTTCCATCTTTCCGCTCTGTCGTCTGTGGTTCTATTGCGTCCTTCCTTGTTCCTTCCCTTTTCCGTCCTTTCCTGTTCTGACCTGTTTCATGCTATTCTTCCTCGCCACGTTCGGTTTCCATCCTTGCCGTCCTCTTGTTCTGTTCCATTGGGTGGTATGAATAAAAGTAAGCAATTACTCTGCTCCGAATTTCGGAGATCCTACTCAGTTTCGTATGAATAAAGTGGGTGAGCAATTGCTCAGTCTCTGAGCATTTGGGTTACATCACCATGGGTTAGGCCTACATGAATCCTGGAGAAAACAAATTATATTGTGTAGCTACAAAAAATTGAAACTATTTATGTCTTGTACAAAAGGAATAGTATTTTATCAAGGAAATTAGCAAACAAGTTAATTAAAGAATTATCAAATAGAAAAGTAATCAGTGAAGTATGGACAAAAACAAACTACTTTTATCTGGAAATAAATTTAAAAATTAAGCAAGAATACGGAACAAGACGATGAAGATGGCTGTGGTGTTGGAAGAATTTATTGGTGAGTCCAAAGTCGTATGTCCAAATTTACATTGCTGTTTTACGAAAATTCAGTTTTTAAGATACAGACATGTCAATCTTCTGAATCAGCACAGCTAGGTCTTCGAAAATTCCGACTAGGTTTCTTTAACAGTTTTCTTCCGCTGGTCGTAAACGTCAAAACCTAACATCAACAACATTAAATCATTGCATGTGACATGGGGCAGAAGTAAAATCTTTTAATGTTTTCTGAAGTTCCGGAATTCTTCAATTTTACTGCAATTACTAATCATAGTTTCATTATAAGTTATAATTGCACGGTGTAATGCAAAAAGAGTCCAATTCACATTGAATGTGTTTAGAGAAAATTGTACATTTACATTTCTTGTCTATTGACAGTAACACGTTAAATGGTTTATTTTTTAATCATAAATGGCGATATTTGTCAAAAGAGGATTGAATCTTCTCTGCGTTGTGTAGAATCCAGAATCCAATATCATTTTTTAAAATGATTTTGAGAATAAGTTTCTATTTGCATAGAACCGCCCAATTTCTCAATTTTAATATTCTTAAGCAATTTTAACAAATTTTGAAAAGATGTTAAAATTATAATTTATTTGTTCAGTTATTAAAATTAGAAAATTTTATTTGACGATAAAAGATAATATGATAAGAATAAACCTCATGAAAAGAAAAAATGTTTCTGATAATTATAAGTAAATATATTGGTGCTAGTTTATTACTTTCTATCTTATTATATTTAATCTGTTATAAAAACTACAGTAATTGACTTGATTAATGAAACTTTTATAACTTACTCCCCTGACTGTTTTTTTTATGACCATTAAGTTTCATTCAATTCAATTGAAATTTGAGATTCAATTCGAAATTGGAATTGTTAGAATATATGTAGTACGTTTCTTCAGTACTTTACTTAATCAGAAACGTCTTCACGTATATGTTCCCTTCGTTCTCATGTTTCCTTCGAACACATTGACGTTCTTCTTATTGGCTCTCTTTCTTCATAGAAATGTAACTAACTAAAATTAGTTTTACACACTCAATATATAGACGTAGTGGTGGATATATAATTAATGCTTTTTCATTGTTCATCACATCGTATAAAGAAAGAAATTACTCACAACACGTACTGAGCCGCTTTTCATATTAAATCACTTGCAGTCTCTTTAATAACTACTTCTCGCCTTTGATCTTTGAGACAGAAATATACATTCAGCATCACTTAAAGTTGTTATAAAATATACAAGGTGGCTATTTTTTAACTCTGTTATCGCCAAACTCCGTTTTGGAGCAATTGTAATCAATCTCATTTGTTTAGCAAAAAACACATTACACATTTCTATGGAGCTACATACATATTACATATTTCTACATGTTTCTATGGAGCGAAATATAAATTATGTAGTCAAGAACAAGAACTCTGGTTGAAATTTAGTTTGGTATATCGAGCATTTGCCGGCATTTATTTTTCTTTGTAACTCAAAATTAAAGCACTTGTTTTGCAGCAAACACCATTTATGTTATTCAACTGGCTGGCATCGGAGCAAAATTTTAAACAATTTCGGAATGATTACAACCTGTAATTTTTGAGTAATCTACATATCCCTCCTCTATTTTAATGTAAGCTTCTATATTTACGCAACACCATTTATCTCTTTTTCGGTAATAATATATTTGAAGTATACGATTTATTTGGTTAAGTTTCGTTCCGAAAACATCACAATATTCCGTGTAATGTGATTATTTAACTCAAAATTTTAAAAAACTTATGAACATGAAATTTCTTTTATCATGTACTTGACCCAGGATACCTGTCTCATAAGAAGATTCAAAATTCACTGAACAGGAATAAAAAAAACAACTTTTTATTGATATCTTTGTGGCGTAGTGTTCACAAACTAATATTTTGTTTCATACTATTTTTTTTTAGATTGAAAAAGCCTAGAATTATCACAGACACAAATATATAACATTCTTTCCAGCAATTATATAGAATTATTTGACGCTTTTAATGTATGAAATGTCATTAATATTTCTAAACTTAAGATAATATATATTTTTATTCTCTTTCGATGCGGTTTATTTTAACGCAGAAGTCTCATAACAATTACTACTAAAGTAGCACGTTTTAACGTGTAAGAATATAATCAAGTAATACACAAATTATGAGACTTCCCGCCGGCGTTTGTGCAGAACCTTTTTAATTATCTAAGGAAAGTTCCCATGAACAGACGTGAAGTTCGTTACTGACTCAAACACAAACCTAAAAAAATGTAAACTTTAAAAAATTAATTTGAAAGGGAGAATATATGCAAACAGTTCGTCAAATTTAAACTTGTTAATTGTTTTTCTGGAAAGATCCACTCACATTCTTTGCAGAAAATTTCATGTAAACTAATGATAAATCAATATCATCACGTGGTGATTTCCCAATTTCTAGTTTGTAATCCCAGATATTCGGGATCATTATGAATGTACATCAATCATCAGGTGAGCAAATTATTATGAACGTCCATCAATACATAGTTACAAAATTATCTTGTTGTAGGGATATTTTTCAAGTTCAATAATTTTATTGTAGTTTACCGAATAGAAAATTTAAAACTTATTTTTCTTACAACTCCTTATAGGGGATTATTATGGTCAATCTAGTTGATTATACATGATTGCGGTAACGCAAAGAGTTACTCTATGAAGAGACCGCTTTGACAGGTCAAAAAGAAATGAACTTCGTATAGGGCTTCGTATATTCCTACCACAACACCTATATTCGTATAGGGCACTGGCATTGCAAGAGACAGTGATGAATTTATTTACAAATGAGCTAAATGTAAACGAACGCATTGATGGAGTGAGTATGATGGCACAACCTGCAGTTATGTTGTCAGCAGAAGCCAAAGGTGAGCTACTATGCAGATCTCGTGCGTTGTTAATACAACGAATATCCATGGAATTCATTATATACTTTAGTTCAATATAAAGTTGAGAAAAAATTGGTTCCTTATAAGTTTAGTGAAGATTTACGCAGTCGTGTATCGCTCCAACAGTTGAAGCGTCGTCGTCGATTGCAATGAAACACCAGCACTCTCCAATATCTACCGTATAGCCGAGTTCCCTGCCTTTTTACGTCCATTTCGGGAAGTTTGGAACGTCGGATGGTTGGTGGCCTAGGAAGTTCGAACAGAAACTCTCCCGCTCAGGCTTCCTCCCTCCCTTGTCGCCGTTCTGAATCCAACACTGAATCCATCTCCTCCACAGATCTCGCCTCCACCTCTCCGTCTATCATCCCTCCGAACCCCACCCAAGCCCGAGGCTTGGCCCCAGTGCACTGCCCCGTCTTCTGTCCTTGCCCTCACATCTGCCTCCGACCATTCCTCCGCCCACGGGCTCTCGCCATGTGCGCCTCCGCTTTTACCAACTCCGCCACCGCTCCAGTCCCAGTCCCCGCCTTTTTGGCTGCTCAAGCCCGCCCGCCACACTCTTTGCTCAACTCTCGAATCCGCTTCCCGACCCCCGCTCCCGACCCCGCTTCCCGGACCCCGCTCCCGACCCCTGCTCCCGACCCCGCTCCCGACCCCCGCCTCCGACCCCGCTCCCGACCCGCTCCCGACCCCGCTCCCGACCCCGCTCCCGACCCGCTCCCGACCCGCGCGACCTGCCGACCCCGCTGCCGACCCCGCTGCCGACCCCGCTGCCGACCCCGCTGCCGACCCCGCTGCCGACCCCGCTGCCGACCCCGCTGCCGACCCCGCTGCCGACCCCGCTGCGAGCTCCCGCTGCCGACCCCGCTCCCGACCCCGCTCCCGACCCCGCTCCCGACCCCGCTCCTTCCCTCCGCCTCCTCCCTCCTCGTCCTGCGTTTTCAACCCCCTCTTCGCTCATCGTGCTCTTTCGCCTCGCCCTGCATATCATTCGCGAGCGCGGGCGGGCATGGGTGCGAGAGCGGAGCGGCGGGAGGGCGGGGCGGCGAGGCGAGGCGAGGCGCGGGGCGGGGGCGCCCTGCACATCCAGCCTCCGGGGCCGACGTGGGAGCACCACTCACCCTCGACTTCCCGGAAACCGGATATCAAGATGAAGGTCGTTCCATTTTCTCCCCCGCGTGTAAAGGGATGCTTTGGGTGGATTCAAATTTCGTTTCAGGGCTCCCGCTTTTTTCCCCCTCTCCGCTCTTTTCCCACCCTCCTCCGCGGCCTCTCCCAACGCAAATAAGATTGCGAAAGACAGATGGATCTTTTTCAGGGCTTGTGTTTCCTAAGATATTCCGATCCCTGGAATGAGATTCGCAGCCACGTACGAATAAAAGTAGGGCATGCGTGGGCGGAAGGGCGTCGTTGGCGGGTTAACAGGTGCGGCTAACGGGGCTGGAGACTGCGAGAAGCACCCGGCCTGGAGTGTCATTGAGCATCCATTAGGATGAATTTACATTCGTTCAAACCCATCCAACTGCCTTATTAAGCATATTGTGAAGAACACATTTTACACCATTGTCTTTTCGTGTTGTATGTTGTATCAAGAAGGCATATGTAATAAGTTATATATCTCACCAGAAACTATAAAACGTAGTGCACATTAAGTCCTTTGTGATAATTATGAATTAATTATGTTGAATAATAATTATAATAATTATAATAATAATTATAATAATAATTATAATAATAATTATAATAATAATAATAATAATAATAATAATAATAATAATAATAATAATAATAATAATAATAAAGGCCAAGTAATATTTGCTGCAATAAAACTTCATGAAGTATTGACATGAAAATTGAGAGTAATCGACATTGTGTTGATTTTTACCGTTTTCGCTACTGTGTTCAACTAGGTGGAATTGTTATTTCAAGGTATTAATTTAATTAAAGAATCATCCTATAAATATGCTAATAATTGACTTAAAAGTTAGTAAAGAATTTAGTTACCAATGTCTTTCGGGATAGCATATTGTTATGGAGTTTTATGAGAGAAATATCGGTATTAGAAATGAATACAGTATGTTATTGGATGTAATTGTGATGTTAAGTATCTCTCAATCTCATTGCGTCTCTGAATTTCTAAATGTGGAAAAACGAAATTGCAATGTCTTCAATATTCCACTTGCAAATTAAAGCTATTCTTGGCAATCAGTGCACGAACCGAAATGTTATTGCAAATCAAAACGAGAGAAAAGGTCCGTTTTGCAATGTAAAAGAATGTTTTTAAAGTCTCTTGACTTTAGTTAACCCGCGTTTGTAGGACTTGAGCTGAAACCGGTTTTTCTTTTGTGGCATGTTAACGTGGCCCTAACTGCTACTCCACCTTGTAAAAGGGCGACGACAGTCCGAACGAAATTCTGGCCGCATGCGCGAATATCCTGTTATACGAGCGCGAAGTGAATATTTCTTCCAGTTTCTTCCATGGCCGTTGTAGGCGTCAGCGGGTGCTGTTAACGGCCTTTGCTTCCGTTCGGCAGAATTACGCAGAGAGGGCATAAATTTCTGCGAGACGGTTTGAGGGTACGGGAGCGAAAGGAAGGGAGAACGGGCTCGTCCTGGTGGATTTGCGTGCGTTGCTGTGCACACAAGGATCGACAAGGCGAGTGACGAGGGGCAAGGTTAAAGATATTAATACGCAAAGGCACGCCAGGGTGTCTGGAGACACGTGTCTTAAAAAGGAGAAAGAAAGGGAAAGGGTAAGAAAAAATGGAGAAATGAAGAAATGCCTGTAGAGTTCCAACGTTTGTCACTCAACATTTTAGGGGTTTCAGGAAATTTGTATCATATATCAGCACTGACGTTCTGGCTGTGCAAAAGAAATATGAGGACGTTTGTCATTTATTTCGTATCTGCCTAGAAGTTAAAATAAATCCATTGAAGGAGCGGTTGTTTTAATTTATTGCAACATTATGCACTTAATCACTTATTTTACACTATATATTTTCAGAGATGGGAGGCAGTTAAGAAGTCTGAGAAAACTAATTACTGATAAAACCGGTCCAAGTGTTTTAAATACGTGGCCTGCGTGAGCAAAAATGCTCCTGAACAAAACCAACAATGATTTCCTAATAAGTAGCACATTGCTTAAGAACAGCAAATAAAATACTCTCGTACAACACGGTAATAAATTAAATATTTTAATAAATACAGTCTCCACGAAAACTGCAATAACATACTACATATAGTATATACAGGTACAGTACATCAGTTCTTTACATACGAAGAATATGAACCAGTTTCTGTTTTCTATCGCAACACTGTCTTGGTGGTCCACTCCTCTCTTGGACCCTTGTTATCGCATGACGTTAGCTGTGTCATAGGTAGTAACTCACTGAGTTGGTGCGCGGAGAGTGGAAAAAATGGAATAACACAACCAAATATCATTAACCAATTCACGTTGCAGACAGAATCGAAACTATTTTAACGTGTTTGGACTTTTCTCCAGTTCTTGATATTTAAAATTCCCGTAGGCATTTCTCACATTGCCGGAAATTTCTACACGCTTTATAATGTATTAAAATAGAAATATTAATATTTTCTGTGTATCGAATAGAACGGTAGAGAAATCTCAAAAGCTGGAAGCTGCATAATTTTGCAATTTATGCGAATTGGAAATTAGTAATGTAGATTTGAGTGTGGTACTGTTATTAGTTTGTTGCGTATAGGTACTGCCTGTGTGACGTTTATTTGGTTAATTGTTATTTTGTCAGTCTCCATTAGTAATAACATTAAGTAGAGTAAACCGTTTTCCTCCAGGGGAAGATGTACAGTTGGTCAACAATAAACACATTGCTCTCTAATTTCTGCAATGCCTTTTGTTAATGACTAATCATTTTAATAAACATTCATGAAATACCGAGAAATATTCCTCTGATACTTTGTAAATCGACAGTACGTTTCACACATACATCACATGTAGGCAGAAAATAATTTCTCTTATGCACCTGTTTACAGCGAATACCTTTATAGACACACTTCACTTCCAGCTGTGACCCAGTTCAGATGTTTAGACGTTTCCAGTAACCGACTTGAATCGGATGAAATTATGAAGCATCCGTACTCGATCTCGTCATGTAACAAACGAAGTAGCAAATTAGCTGAGGTACACGATAACATTAGATACACATAAAAAAAACGTTTGTACGGCTGTTTCATAATATTACAACCTTAATGAGCAATAACGTAGTAGATTCGAAGATAATGAGCATTTGGTGGAATATTAAACATGGGAATTGACATGTGTGACATTTGCCACTTAATGGTAAGCAATTAATTATGAACTGGTGATTGGCAAGAAACGTTCGGACCCCAGTCAGATTGATTTCACGTAGCTTGCGAACACCAGTGAGTGAGGTGCCTAACAATCAGGGTCAAATCTGTATGTGTAAATTCCAGGGGCATGTATTCCATAGACGCGAGTATTTTCCAAGTTTTTCGAATAACGTGCTAGGGTATTTACAACATATTTTATACAAACTATGAACAACTTAACAAGAAAGAAAAAATACGATCTCACTTGGCACTCAGCAAGCTACAATGGAAATATGTCTCTTTCTAGTACACACCTCCCATCCCCCCACCATCTCTTCATTTCTTTCTCCCTCTCTGTATCTCGTTTGACCTTGAAGAATGAGCATGGTGTTCTCAAGTTCTTATGCTGTTTGGCAAGGGTCCGCAATCATAGGGACTTCTGTTCGTGCGTATTCATAGAACATCGGATATTTATAACGCAGTTATTTTGAAACATTTAAAGTAAATTAAATACATGTTAATAATATTCGTGTTTAGTGTGTGCGTTTTCAACTATATTACTGACAACTTGCACCCGTATTGTGAACCTAAGAGTATCTTTACATATACCTACAAAGGTAAGAAATTCTCGGTGTTGTGTACAGTAATGGAAATGGATCTCCAACTTAAGGCGCGCTGAATACTGAATACAGTAATACATGTGACTACTGTGGAACGTTTTTTAATGCAAAACGTCATTTCTTTTCAGTTTGAAGCGAAGAAAAAAAATAATTTGAACGGAAGGGCCACCTCTGAATTAAAAATAAGTACACAAGTGAAGACCTAGCAAATAAGGTTAACATTTGAACACAACACATGAATGTCTTACTTAATGTCCAAAAGTGCAGAAACAATTTTGTTAGTCTTGCCTTCTGTTTTCCAATGAAAAACCTGTGGGGAACACGGGAGGTTACAATTATATAGGAAATACACTTAAAGCTAAAAAAATCACATATCGCAAAACACCTTCGTCCTATAATTTTACATAATGCATTCGAGAAAGGTAGAATTGATCACATGTTAGATGCACATGTACTCTTAAATGCAATAATGTGCAGAAATCACCAGTGACCAGTGGATGACGTGAGAGAGATGAAGTGTATGTAATATGGTGCAGAATTCTGTAATTTTTAAGGAAAAAAGAATAGTGCAAAATGACATTGGTCGTCTGTTACAATACTTTTAGCAGGAACCGTACCAGAAGTTTAAAGAAAAAAATTGTATCCGTTTTTGAGAAATCCTTGTTTTTTAATATTTTTGTTTATTGCGCATATTTCACGCAATATGAGCGCGCGAGTTGAATATATACCAAATAAGGCCAAAATATGAAATCTCGTACATCTTACACACAGTTTATAGTATTTCATTTATTTTCGCGTGTATTACTTTTTGTGTAAAATATTAAATTAGTGTAATATTCATCTACAAGTTGAATATGAAAATAGTCATTTTTTGGTCAGTTGGCAGATACTATTTTGCTTATGCATAAAAAAATCACAAGTCGCCACTGGTAAATTTCTTGTATGAAATTCTCCACCACATGTTCATTGTCGAAAGTTATTATTGACACCCTACATGCCCTAGAAGTTGTAAGATTGCTTCTGAGGCATCCTGTATGCATGTGAGCGTATATGTGGATCGTACGTGTGTACCCATTCACAACACATTCGATTTTCGAGAGACCTACCTTTTTCCCCCTGAGCTAAAGGTCTCTCTTTTCGCCATTAGCTCTTATATTTATTATTCTCGATGTCTTGAAACTGAATGTTGAAACTTTCAGACTTCCTGAATTCGGCTAGAACTGCAAACCGAGCGAAGAGTAAGTGCAAGCAGGGAAAAGGAGCGGGACAAGAAAAACGACGCGACCAAGTCAGAAAAGTCAGAGAGAAAAATAGTCAGAGAGAAAGCAACCCAGAGTACCCGGGATGTTCCACAGGGTTTGATGTAAATCTCTTCTCTTCGGGCGGTGTGTTTATACCCTAACAGTTTACTACCAGATATCTAACGACTTTTGTTTCAACGGGAATTTCGTTCCTTTTTCTTATTTTCAAACTGTCAATCCAGTGGATTTTCAGGTGCGCGGTACATATTTTTTTCTTTATAATATATGTAGTGTTTTAAATGCAGGTTACCTTGCTCGTGAATTAGATAAAGGTTGAAATATTTGCATCATGTAGTATATTGTATTATGTAGTTTTTTTAGCCGGAGGAAACATTCGTTTTATGCGAATGTGAATTGTCGTTAGGATATTACTTTGAGTAGGAATTTAATTTTTGTAAGGGGATTTAGGGATTTTGTGCCAACATTTTTATATAGAAGGTTGAGTGTAAGTGGAAGATGACGGAAAATGGTTTAAGTGTTTTGGAAATAATACATGTTTGAATTCCTATGTGTGTGTCTTTATGTATGTGGGTGTTTCTTAAAAATTCGGAAACGTTCATAATTTTTCTATGGACTTTATTTTGAAGCAATTGGAAAATGTTGATAGTAGTTAAAGAATCAAAGACCTAATAGAGGATGCGTGAGAGATATTAAAAATGGTTTTTTACAATAGCGGTGACTTGATATTTTATCGTAGAATATTTATTTAACAGAAAATAATTTTTTGACACTCCTTTCGCTGTAATAAGGAATGGATGAGATGAAAAACACGATAAGTTTGATGTAATTAGTAGTATAATGACTGATATATACACTGAAGAGCCAAAAAAAAAACTGGTACATCCATACGTATTGAAATAGAGAGATCTGGAACCAATCAGAATACGGCGTTCCGGTCGGCAACGACTATATAAGACAACCAGAGTCCAGTACAGTTCTTAGATTGGTTACACGATGGCAGGTTATCACGATTTAAGTGAGGTTGAACGTGGTGTTATAGTCGGTGCAAGTGAAATAGTGCATAGCATCTCCGAGGTCGCGATGAACTTTGGATTTTCCCGTACGACCATTTCACGAGTGTACCGTGAATATTGGGAATCCGATAAAACATCAAACCTCGGGTATCACTGCGGCCGCAAAAACATCGTGCAAGAACGGTACCGACGTCGACTGAGGAAAATCACATTGTTTCGAGTGGATAGACGTGTACGAGTATGGCGAGAACCTCATGAATCCATGAACCTTACATGTCAACAGGTGTCTGTTCTAGCTGGGGGAGACGCAGTGACGGTATGGAGCGTGTGTAGTTGGAGTGATGTGGAACCACTGATACGTCTATATACGACTCTGACAGATGACACATATGTAAGCATCCTGTCTGATCACCTACACCCATACATGTCCATTATGCATCCCGACGGACTTCGGTAATTCCAGCAGGAAAATGCGACAGTCCACATGTTTAGAATTGCTACAGAGTGGTTCCAGGAACACTCTTCTGAATTTAAACACTTCCACCCAAATCTCCAGGCATGAACAATACTGAGCATATCTGGGATATCTTGCAACCTGCTGCTCAGAAGAGATCTCCATCTCCTCGTACTCTTACGAATTAATGGACAGTCCTGCAGTATTCATGGTTTCAATTACCTCCAGCACTACTTCAGACATTAGTCAAGTCCATGCCACGTCGTGCTGAGGGACTTCTGCGTGCTCGCGGGGGCCCGACACGATATTAGGAAGGTGTACCATCTTGTTTGGCCCTTCAGTGCATATCATATAAAAGCGATCATTTATTTTTGCACAATAACAACTAGTTTCTTCGATACAAATTTTGCCAAAAGATGGTTTCGTCCAAGAAAGGCTCAATAGTGACATACAGATGGTGGAAATTGCTCGTTGTGTCTCAAGTACTATTTTATTAGTCCTTTATTTTAACAACTGCGAAAACATATTCTGTTATAAATTTTAAGTAAGTAATACAAAAATACATGACAACTTTTTATTATTCACAATGTATACGTAACTGTCACATATTGGAATTCTGTATGCAGCATTTGAGTTTTATTGGACGAAGTCATATCGAAGGAAGTAGTTGATACTGTGCTCAAATAAATGAGCGCATTTGTCTGAAGGACGAAATCTCGATGTTCCCATTTGGTTATAAGGAAAGGCAGAATGGAAAATCGCCGCTTTAGAGGCAACGTACGTTACAAAACACATCATTTTCTATAAAACGAGTCGCTTAAATACAAAGAGGTACATATATTTTAAGTCGTCTTTTTAAGCCCACTTTGATACGCTAAAATTTTGCAGAGAGTTTTATTTAAAATTCCCCACATCTTTTTTATTTTGACCGATCTGTGTGCCCTCGCAAACGCTGCGTCCGTGTCTCCCTTGGCCGTCCGTTCTCGCTGCTCTACGTATACCGCTCCGATCTTTTCTGGCGGCCCGACCGCCCTTCCACATATTCATGCGCTGCATATGTGTGCGCGTGTTGCCGCCCGGGGCGACCGCCGCAGTGCCCTTAGCCCCACCCCCGCCCCCCTCTCCACGCCCGCCGCCTTCCGCCGAAGCGCGCGCCTCGCAGTGAACGTCTTGTTCAGCCGCCTGCGCTGCGCCGCGCCGCGCCGCACCGCCTCTTCAAAGCGCTTGCCTGCAACAAAGCCAATTTGCACGGGCGTCTACCTCGCGTCCAGCACTCGCTCCGGCCCAGCCCCGCCCTCTGCCGCGCCCCAGCCGCGCTCCCTTCTCTTCCCCCACTTCCTCCCATTTCCCTACCCTTCCCCGGCCCTCGCTGCCTTTCCGTTTCCACCTTGCCTGCCTCCTCCCCGCCCCTCCCCTCCTCAAGTATCCCACAACTTCTTTCCCGTTTCCTCTCCTCACCGTTCCAGTCCTCCCTCTCCTCCCATTTCTGCCACTCTCCTCCACGCCACCGCTCTCCCTACCACCTGCCATTCACTCTTCTCCTCCCAACACCTCTCCTTCCATCTCTTATCACCAAGCCGTTACTTCCCCTTCCCTCACCTCCCGCCCCTCTGCTTTCCGCTGTCTTCTCCGTCGCTCTTTTCGCACTCCTTCAATCTTCCCGCTCCAAACTTTCCGCTCCTAGTCATCTCGCTTCTGATCTCCAGGCTTCCTAGTTCCCCCCGGCTAACCTCCACTCTCTGCTTTTCTCCGTTTCCTCCCCAACTCTCTCATTCCCCAACCTTTCCCTTGCTACCCGCCTTACTGCTACTCCGCGCTGCCCCGTCCCCACTTCGCGCTGCCATCACCCACTCTCCACCCGGCCTCATTCAGCCCCACTCTACTCTGTTCCGTCCCCACTTTGTCCTGTCCGCCCTTCATTCCATTCCGCCCCGCCCTCCCCGGCTGTCTGTATCCTGCCCACTCCGTCCCTCCCCGTTCCACCTTCTCCACAGTGGTTCGCTGTCCCACGCCTCCATCTCACTTTTCTTTTCCCGCCCCGTCCTCTGGGGGCGTGCAGTGGTCTGGGTATCCATTTCATGGAAACAAAACTACTTATTGATGTGACGTCCTACGAACCTTACTTCTCTTGTAACGTGATGTAGATTCTGCTAGGTATGTAGATTTTGATGAAGTCACCCAGACAGGAAAACAATGATTCAGAGCCTTAAAGAACCAAACCAGAAGCAATACACATCTGTAGCAGCGCGCATCTGTTAAGGTTAAAAACGTGAATCGTGGAAATACCTGCCCTGGTTTGCTGTTCTCATACAATTGCCAATGTTTTGTGGGTCACGCAAGAAAAATCAACCCCAAAAATCATTTCTCGACAATTTTAAACATTTGAACTCAGCTGTGTCGAAAATGACATTACCACAAATATAAAAAAAATGTTCTTTAACGCAACACGTGATTATTCAATGGTGACCTCTTCCCTGGAGCCTTGCAGTCGCATTACGTCAGCTGTACCTTACTCCATAAAAACATCAGACATAAAGTAAATGTGGAACGTGATATTGAAGCGCCGTACTGTTTGTAAAATGGGTGTGAAATGCTTGTGAGCACGCTTACGGAAGTTTCGATAATTACGGAGTATAATAGATGCATTCGAGACTTCCGGTCTTGGCTACCGAAATGCGACTCTTCTTGAGAACATTCCGAGGAGGAGAGGGGGAAGGTTGAGGAATAGGTATTGATGTATGAATACTTGACTCCTCTATTTTATTTCTTTCTCCCCTCTTCTTCGGATAGTTCTCAATACGAGTATCATCAAACATTTTAACCAATATTATTTTTTATTTCAATATTTATACGTTGATAAATGTTCAAGAGTTTGGAATGAGGAAGCTATAAAATAAACTGAATGTTAAAACATCGACTACCCCAGATCATGATGTAGTAGCTAGTGCTGTATCTCTCTTTGCTAGGTACTTGATTTCAAATTCCGACCAGTCCATGTGAAATGGCTTCAATATATTCCTTAGATTTCTGCAAGATACATCTTTTCCGCTTCTCCCTCTTTCTTCTTTTCGCGAACTTTAGCTTCTGTAGTCCACGAGAAACAAATCAATCAATATTTTTTCTTCGTCTCTTTCTTCTCTTCCCACCATTTCTTCATTATTTTACTGATCTTTCTCTTTTCTTAGAATCCCCTACTAGTTACTTTTACTTTTTCTTTTGAATTCCTTGGTTATTTGTCATCTTACAAAATACTTCTCTATCCCACGTGTCGTCTTTATTGATCTGAACCTCTTTGATGTCATTTATTCCCACAATTCATTTTGTAATTTGAATGATATGACATTTATTATCTATCTATCTGCCTTCACTTATTCGAACAAGGTGTTCGTCAGCTTGACACATCAGCGTTGTGTCTGTAATCTCGATCTTTTTATGAAGAGTGATCCGATTTATTCACACTGCCTAAGAACAGTCTCTCTGTTAGAAATCGCGTACGCCAAATAAACAAATCCGATTTATCCACCTGAGCTCTCCGTGAATTGATTCGTAACTAGACCAAAACTTAAAATGTAGAACAATGAAAATGTATATCTGTTTCCGAAGACAATAAAAATAAATACCAACTATTATCGATGTAGGTACAATATATAGTCTGGGCTGCTTTTATATTTAT